CTTGTCTGGTCTGTCTTGTCTGGTCTGACTGTCTGGTCTGTCTGTCCGTCCGTCTGACTGTCCGACCGTCTGTCTGTCTGCCGGTCGGTCTGTTTGTTTGTCTTTCTGTCGGTCGGTCTATATGATCTGTCTGTCTGTCCGGTCTGGTAGTCTGTGTGTCTGGTCTGTCTGGGTTGTCTGTCTGGTCTTACTGTCTGGTCTGTTTGTCTGGTCTGTTTGTCTGGTCTGATTGTCTGTCTGTCCGCGCTGGTATGTCTGTCTGTCTGTCTGTCTGTCTGTCTGTCTGTCTGTCTGTCTGTCTGTCTGTCTGTCTGTCTGTCTGGTCGTGTCTGATCGTGTCTGGTCTGTCTGGTTTGTCTGGTTTGGTCTGTCTGGTCTGGTCCGGTCTGTCTGTCTGGTTTTTCTGGTCTGTCTGTCTGGTCTGTCTGTTTGTATTGTCTGTCTGGTCTGTTTGTTTGTCTGGTCTGTCTGGTCTGTCTGTTTGTCTGGTCTGTCTGTCTGACTAACTATATAACCTGTTTGTCTTTCTGTCAATCCATTAATCAATCTTTTTACTTATATTTCTGATCATTTACATACATCTTCACCCCTCGGTTGACCTGTTCGTTTGTCTACCTACATATATATATATATCCCGACTGTATACCGTTTGTTTATATCTGCTCTAATTTTCGGCGTGGCGTTTTCAGCTATCTATGTGTACTTCTGTATGTATGTGTATATAGATTTGTGTGTGAGCGTGGTGTGTGTGCATATGTGTGTGACATTTAACCTAATTTCAATGCCACAACACATACATTTTTACACTGAACATGGAGCCCTGGGTCTTATCTCCTACGACAGGACGCCATAGCCTATCTCACAACGTGACCAGATTTTTTGACTTGTGTACCTAAATCTTTCTCTTTGGCTCTCCATCTTTTGATTCGTGATCATCATTGTTCGTCAACTGACTGAGAGGCGGGCAACTGAGCTGGTTACCTGCACGTCGATGTTGGTGCTTTAGACAATTTTTCTTAGGTGAGTGACTTCTTCTTTTTCGATCATTCTGTCAGAAAACTTATATCAGGAGGACTGTGGCCTTTATGAAAGCTATTGTGCAGTCCATATCTTCTCGTGTTTCATATAGTTTTGTCTTCATTATGGCTGAAACATTCCATATTGCGTCTCGGTTGTCAGCATACAGTTGACAGTGTTGGAGCATATGCTCCGTGTTTCCAACACCGACAAAGTTTGCGCATATGTTGACGAAGTCTGTTGTGCCCAGTCCTTCGTCTGTCTATTATACACTGTGCATCTCTAGAGAGGCGATGAAGCGTGTGAATGTTAACATTTTCAGTATCACTAAATTAACTATATCTTCACTGATTATACTATCATCATCATCATCATCATCATCATCATCATCATCATCATCATCATCATCATCATTGTCTCGTAAGACTGCGTGTCGTTGGGTCACCAGTTACTGTTGAATGTCTCATTAGTTCCTTCCACCTTTCATGGTCAGATACGATGGACTTCATTGCTGCATGACTAAAGCCAAGCCTTGCCCGGTCAGTCAAGTTCTGTATCCATGTCTCTCTTGGTCGGCCTCTTCTTCTCTTTGCCTCTAGGTGTCTCCATGGCAAAGTGGTCAAGCCGTTTGCCTCGCCCTCTGAAGGTCGTGGTTTCACCTTCATTTAGTTCACGAGTGCAATTTTTACAGAAATTCCTTGGGATCATCGCCAGAGCTTCGAAGTTCATGCTCTGTGCAATGTTATAGGCATGCAGTTTTCCGTTGTGCAGAGAGAGGCCGAGCCAAATGAGATAAAACCCGATGCAGAGAACTCAGTCCTCTCAAGAATTCTTTTTCTAACTCTCAGTGACAAGGATATATTGCACAAGATGTTTTTAATTTCATAGGATGCAGTTTTTGCCTGTCCTATTCTGTTACTTATCTCAGTTATGCATCTTCCATCTGAAGTTATCCATGTGTTCGATACTTAAATTTATGTACTTGTCCTAAAAAAAACACCATCGACTTTTGTTACACATTTAGGAATAATTCGTTTCTTTGATACCACCATTACTTCTGTCTTCCCATTATAAAATATATATATATAATATAAAATGTGTATAAAATATATCTATGTTTGTTTGTTTGTTTTAGTATCCAGAAGCCATGAGTTGTTAACCCTTAGGCTCGGTATTATGGATATCGCAACCTTTCGGCCTTGATTCCATTGTAAATACCGTAAATCTGGGAGAAAATGTGGCTTTCCTGCCTACCCCCGGGATTGAACCAGGACCACAAGGAGTACGTCACCCGGTCTCCGCGAAATCCGGTTTAGCCAATTCCGCTAGAGAGCCGGGAAAATATATCTATAAAACACACACACACACACACACACATATATTCATAATGTCAAATGTACGCTGAACTTTTACTTCACATAAAGTAGCACAGAATAGACATCTTCTTCTTTAGCATTCTAAGCCCTTGAGGTTTACTGCTGCAGATATCACTCGTCTCCATTCATCTCTGGCTGGCCTTCTCTTCACAATTTGTGACACCAGTTGTTTGCAGGTCTGCCTGGACATTATCACTCGATAAAAAAACTGATGTTTTTGACGTCTAGTTTGATAATGGAGGTGGAGACAGTCATTGCTGCCTTCCGTTGGCTTGAGAATCAGCTGTACACACATGTCGTCATTATAACTGACTCACAGAGTCATGTGAAAAAGGTGGAGACAGGCATGCTCAGTGCAGAGTGGCAAGCATCACTTCAGAGGTCCCGGGTAGTTAGCATCCTTTGGATATTTTCTCCAGGGACGCCGGTGTGTTGGGAAATAAGCAGAGGGATAGACTGGCCCGTTCTGCACCACTTGGTGGTGAACTGATATATGCAAGCAGGATGTTGTGAGGGCCCTTTGGAAGCGAGTGAACAGTGCCGAGGAACAGATAGATGATTACGGTCTGAGGAGAGTGGCACTGCGAGGAGTTACAAGGGGATCTGGCCGACGTTCGACGCTCGGGGGAGGGGCGAGACGGATATAAATCAGACTGTTACTGGTATCACCGGGATTTTAACTCTTCGCTTGCTGCTGAAGATGGGGACGGAGCGCTTATGGGAGTGTCCCGAGTGCTGTGATGTCGATTCTTAATTCAACATTCAACATTCAAAGCTTGGGTTCATAAAAGAGATGAAGATAAGTAGACCACGTGACAGACAAAGATGTAAAAGAAAGGTAAAAGTAAACGATCCTTTTCCACGCCTTCAGACGTACTGGGTATATAGGGCTAGACCTATATTTTAGAGACCAGGCGGCACTCGATGGATGATGAGATCATACCCACCGCATTTACTTCCCATGGCTTTACCTGGTGCCCTAGTAAGGCTGGGTCGACCTGGGAGCCAAGGACGTTGATGTTATGCGGTTATTGTTTTACACAATGCAGTTTATGAACTAGTTCTCGATGATCATGTAGGATACAGGTTTTTTCCCTTCTTCTTTGTTCATTATTTTCTGATAATTTTTCTGTAACATTTCAGTTTTAAAGCGACGATTTTTACCTCTTATCTATTTCAGCCCCAGTTGATTTCAAAATGGAAACCCAGTTTTGCATAATAATAACAGTAAAAAAGGCAGCAGTATATGACTATCAACGATATAGCATGGACTGTGTTACATTCAGAATACTTGCCCAGATTTTATCTGCATGCCCAGATCAAGCATGAAATAAATATTAAAACACCATATGTTACCTTGATGCACATAGACATGAGCTGAGAACACATAATGCAGTGTTTGGGACAACAAGAGTTTAGTGATTACGTAATTGTCCATGCTTCACAACCACAACATGACACGGAAAATATACGTGATGTCAACATTCAGTGGCCTATAATTACATTTAGCATTTCATGTTTCAGAAAACAAATCCATGGCTGCCGTCTGGTGCCTTCTGTTAGTTGCGGTCGGTTGCGCCGCAGCCCCAGGTAAGCCTTTGTCATCATCATCATCTGCAAATGCCGTGCCAAAAAGCGTAGCTTGCAGTATCGAGGTGTGATCAATTTGCGCGTGTAAGCGATTTAGACAAAATTAAGCATTAGCTGGTAACAATTACCTTGTAGAGGCTATCACGTGATATTTTCCCTCTTCCCACTTCCCTGTGGAGACAATGCGTGCGCAGCTAGCAGTGTAGTAGTAACTGGCAGGTCTCGTGCCTTACAGTTTCTGCTTAAGTGGCGTAGGCTTGCAGCGAGAGCATTAGTTTCTCTATATTATTACTAATAATTAACTTATCTCTTTGAGTCCTAGTGGGTTTAGCATCACAGGCCCAAATGATAGTAAATAGAGACACACAATCAGCGCATCGTGCGGTAATTGGGCTACTAGGTAGGAAACTGTGAACGTATGATGCGTTCCTTGGGACTCAGAGAGTTAACATGCTCGGCGAGACATACGCCTGATGGCGTATTTGTAATAAATAAACAGATAAATTAGAGAACCCTTTCTACGCATTCAGGCGTATTGGGCAAATAGGGCTAGACCTTTTTTTTTAAAGATCATTAAGCACTTGGTGGATGATGCGGTTACCATCCCGCCGGCTGCCTTTACTTCCCAGAATTGTACCCGGTACCCACCTAAGGCTCCACCAGGATCTGAACCCACCACCTTCCGATCCGCAGGCGAGCGTCTATTCGCTCGCCACGGTATTTGTAATAAATTGTTTACTATTGTGGGACAGACAGAACTACAAAAATTAGATGTTTAAGAGCATGCATCTTTTCCATTGCAACATGCGCCTGTGAAACCTATACACTTACTAAGCAAGTTGAACAGCGTATAAATGCCCCCTTTGAATACAAATGCTATAGACAGGTTATAAGAATATCATGGTTAAAGAAAAGAACAAATGCAACCATTCTTTAAGAACATAATATTATAGAAGGGTGGCCATTAAAAACGATAACACACAGAAAATGGAAATACATTGGTCACTTGAAACGTCACGTAAATTTGGAGAGAACAATAATGGAGGGGTTTATGCCTGGGAAGAGAGGAAAAGGAAGGTGAAAGAGATGATGGGTGCAGGATGTAGCAGATGATCTCCTGATGGGTGTTTCGGGCGCAGGTCATCTTGCTTGTGATTGACAAGTTTTCCGTAGTGTTGTTATGGGAGCAAGGTTCTGCAAAGGACATGCTACTGACTGAGTAAGTAAAAGTAAAGATCCCTTTTCACGCCTTTCGGCGCATTGGGCATATGGGCAGAGCGTCCCATATTTTTACAGACCATCAGCACTCTGTGGGTAATGTGGTCAGCATTACGCCGGCTGTCTTTACTTTCCCAGGACAGTCCATCCTGGTACCCATTTTAGGCTGGGTCGACCTGCGACGTCCCATACCAGGATAAAAATCCGCGCAGCCTGCAGTGGGTTTCGATCGCGGTATGCTGGCTTACGAGTCGGACTCGCAACGCCTTAGCCACGGACCCCGCACTGACTGAGTAAACTTAATATAAATAGTAAAATAATGCATGTTTCTTTTACAATGGAAAGTGAAGCGGCGGTCTCAATCAATACATTCCCGCCTGGTCGCTGGTTGACTCACCTATTTTGCCATCTAACGCGATCATCAAAATATATATGATACTTGTCTCAAGCAAAAAGCAGAGACAAGAGGGGAAGATTCAACCAAGTTTTTTTTTTTTTTAAATTAATTTACCACCCCCCCCCCCCACCCCTTTTCCACCAAAAAGGTATAGAAAAGAAAGACAAAACCTGTCTCCACCTCCCCCCCCCCCCCCGCCACCCCTTTTGCCCGCTACACACTCACACACACACACTCTCTCTCTCACACACAAACATACACACAAATAAAAAAAACAAAATGACACAAGACGCATGTAATTAAAATGTTGCAGTCAGGGGTTTAACAGCTTTTTTTAGAATTTGTTTTCAATCTTAGAAACAGTGATTGTACAATCGGACTTTAATCCCAAAAGTAATATATCAGTTTCTCTTTCCAGAGCGGTCCGAAGGAAATGTCTTCCCGCCATACAAGCCTTTATTCAGCCCGGAGGAATGGAAAGAAATTTTGCAACTACTAAGTAAGTTGTAAAACATTCGAATAGTAGTGCTTCATACTTTTCGCATTTAAATACACCAATTACCCATTTATGCACCGTCTCCACCGTGGAGGTTGGTTACTGTGGATCTTAGCTTATAATAATAGTTTTATTATTATAACGCACTTAAACTAGGCCTAATCCTTCTTGAACACCTTGGACAGACAGACAGACAGACAGACAGACAGAACTCCACTTATATTTTCTTTTTGTCAACGCCCCTGCCTGGGACAGTGAGCCTGTATACGTGATAGGCAGACATGACCAAAATCCCTTACCCGCAAAGGACTGCATGTTACACTTGGTGTGGTGTAGCAGTTACGGGCGTCTTAATTGTACCTTTTTTAAATGTTGAATAGGGTATTTGAGATCTACCTTATTGGGCAGCCATCCAGACTAAGATTGTTTAAGCTCAGGATGGTTTGTTTTATGCAACGGATCAACATCGTGGCACAAGGGTAGTAACCCTTAAGTGATCCGTTCTACTTCTTACTCAAGCCTGAGTCCAATGAATCTCAGCGCACTGCACGAACTCCGTAGCACAGCGAGAATCTTGAAATACTTTGGTTGATTTTTAACTCCAAATTTTGCCCGGGCAACGCCGTTAGGCTACTCTTTATCATTTCCAGGGACACGGGGACTCCGTAATTTCCACTTTATGTTGTTTACACGTTCAGATTTCGCTTCCCGCCTGGTTGCATATCATATGACCAAACCATTTCACTTGTTTAAAAAAAAAAAAACCAGAGCTGCTGTTATCTCTATTTTCTTTCGGAACTCATCGTTTCTGATCCTATCTTTTATTGTTACATTAAAAGGCTTTCGTGGGAATCCTATTTCAGCTGCTGAAATTTTTTTCCCCTCCCTTTTATTCTACGTGTCTGGCATTGACAGCACAGGACTAGCAAGACGATATTGTCATAGTGCTCCTTTGGTTTCTACTGATACATGTTTGTTTCTCAGTATTGGTGCCACTTGTCCAGTGAGTTGTGTTGCTCTGTTACATCTGTCATCGATCTCGTCTTCTGATTTGCAAGCAGGTGATATTATGCTTCCTAAGTATTTGATATGCTTGATTTGTTTCAGAGAGTGTTCTATAAGCTGGATAGTTATTGTTTTGTCTACTTTTCTATGGTCATAACCTCAGTTTCGTTAGCGTTAATTTTCCCATGGTGCTGTCTACACACTTGGTATAAATCATTTATATTGTCTATATTGTCTCGCAGTTCTGTTTCTGAAGTAGCAATTTGTGTTTGGTCGTCCGCAAACAGTAGTTCTTCGATAAAACTGTCTGGCTTTGAGCCTTCTTCACCTTGATGTGTTATAGTCCTTGTTTTGTTGTTTCTTTAGAGGCGTTATCAATGTTTTGAATATAGTGGAAACAGGACACAACCCTGCCATACTACAGGTTTGTTTCTTTTAGTGAATTAAGACAGTTGTAATTTTTTAAATCAAGACAGCTCATGAAAGAAGACACCTGTACAATCATTAATCAAGACAGTTGTAAAATTATGAAACTAGACAGATTTACAGTCGCATAACAAGAGAGCCGAAGAGCATGAAACGAGACAGACATACAATAAGACAACTGTAAAGTCATGAAAATTGACAGTTGTACAATTATATAACAAAACAGCTGAAAAATCATGAAACAAGACAGCTTTACAATCATCAATGATGACAGAATATTTTTTCCTACCAGATATAACAAAGAGAGACAACCCTCCCTTGTACGACGACCCTCTCACGCACGAACAGATCATAGAGCTGATTAAACAACCCAGCACGCTGTACCGGCACCTAGATGGTCAACGGGAACACGCACAACCCGTAAATAGTAAGTAAATGTAAATACGGGGTCCCTGGGTTCCTGTGCTCCAATATGGACCCACTGCCTTCTTAAAAAGCGTGTCGTATAAGGCAACTAATTAGGGGAGTGTCTTTCAAAATTGGAGTGCATCTGTCTGAGGTGAAAAACCATCAGTCTGCATACAAATAGGCCAGATATTTAATTCGGATCAACACGAAAATTTTAAGTTCTGGAACAAGACCAAAGTCGACAAATGGACGAACAACCAAAACTTTCTGCCGGAGTTTTCTTAGAAGAAGAAGAAGAAGAAGTAGTAGTAGAAGTAACAGTAGCAATAGCAGCAGTTAGGAGTTAGTAGTTAGGAGTTGAGTTAGAAGTTAGGAGTTAGCAGTTAGTAGTTAGCAGTTAGCAGTTAGTAGTTAGTAGGTAGTAGTTAGCAGTTAGTAGTTAGTAGGTAGTAGGTAGTAGTTAGCAGTTAGCAGTTAGTAGTTAGTAGGTAGTAGTTAGCAGTTAGTAGTCAGCAGTCAGCAGTTAGCAGTTAGCAGTTAGTAGTTAGTAGTTAGTAGTTAGTAGTTAGTAGTTAGTAGTTAGTAGTTAGTAGTTAGTAGTTAGTAGTTAGTAGTTAGTAGTTAGTAGTTAGTAGTTAGTAGTTAGTAGTTAGTAGTTAGTAGTTAGTAGTTAGTAGTTAGTAGTTAGTAGTTAGTAGTTAGTAGTTAGTAGTTAGTAGTTAGCAGTTAGTAGTTAGCAGTTAGTAGTCAGCAGTTAGCAGTTAGTAGTTAGTAGTTAGTAGTTAGTAGTTAGTAGTTAGTAGTTAGTAGTAAGTAGTTAGTTGTTAGTAGATAGTAATTAGTAGTAACAGTTAGTAGTTAGTAGTTAGTAGTAAGTAGTTAGTAGTTAGTAGTTAGTAGTTAGTAGTTAGTAGTTAGTAGTAAGTAGTTAGTAGTTAGTAGATAGTAATTAGTAGTAACAGTTAGTAGTAAGTAGTAAGTAGTAAGTAGTTAGTAGTTAATAGTAACAGTTAGTAGTAAGTAGATAGTAGTTAGTAGTAACAGTTAGTAGTTAGTAGTTAATGGTTAGTAGTAGTAGTACAGGGCTATTTTCGCGAATAGATAATAAATAGGATGCAAATATCAGTAACCCTCATTCAACCATAAGGTTATATTAGGCTCCCTACGGTTGCGAATATGGTGACCATAATATTTAAAGCGGGATTTTATAGCGGGAGTCGCCGTGGCATAGTGGTTAGACGCTCGCGGGCGGATCGGAAGGTCGTGGCTTCGCTTCCTGGCGGAGCCGGATTTTTTTCAAAAAGGACCTTGACTCACACGTGAACCTAATCTTAAGTGGGTAGGGGGTACAGTCCCGGGAAGTAAAGGCTGACTACATCACCCATCTTGTGCCGATTAGTTTATAAAAAGATATTGTCACGTAACTGAGGGGAAGGAGGAGTCACCTTAGGAGGTCACCCGTGTGTATTGTTGCGCACGTAAAAAATCCATTGGTAGTTCAAAATCGAAAGGAGTAGCCTAACGGCGCTGCCCGGGCACAAATTTGAAGTTGAAAATCTACGCAAAGTATTTCAGGATCCTCGCCGGTGCTACAGAGGCTGTGCACTGTGCTAAGCTTCTATGGACTCAGAATTGAGTTAGAAAAAGAACTGAGCACTTATGGGCTACTACATGTGAGCCATAATGTTGATCCGTTGTTCAAACCTCAAACCTGTTACGTAACTGAGATCAGCTTTAGTGTGGTATTTACAGTCCATTTGCCTGTCAAGGTCGTTTCCAAGGCCAGCCAGATATGAAAATAGCCAATCGGCAAGAAACCACAACAAAGACCGAGCAACGAAATCTTAACAGCACAATTCAAAACTAGATGAGATGAAGATAGAAAACGACACCACAAATATAGACGACAGGGTAGAAAACAGCGATGTCTTTTGTACCATAGCTGAAAGTGGTCATAGTTAAAATGATGGATTGATTGGTATGGTCGTCGCCATGACTATCCACAGCCTGCCGTACACTGTTAGCGTTTTCGTTTATCGTGTTCCCCGACTCTAAACTCAGGCTGTAATAAGTAGTGCTGTACCGAATATTCGCTTCGTATTCGTTTCGGGGATAATAGTGGACTTATTAACTATTCCGTATTCGGCTGAATTCTTGCGGTCGGGCCGAATACGAATAGTGGTTACCTTACACCCGTTTTTGCATGCAATGCGATGGACTGAAATAACTCTCTCATTAATATAATGGTTTCTCTTGCCTAAGTCTGTCGTAGCAGTGGAAACTGCGACTCGGTGCAGCAGCTGGCAAGGTCTTTGCCTTCTGACTCGACCGAGGCATTACAGCAGAGGTTCTCAAACTGGGTGCGTATGCCAGGGGTGCCGCGGCGAAAATTTAGAAAAGTCGGCTGTAAATTGTGACATTGTTAAAGAAGTCATGAAGATACTTAAAAGTTACAATTTAAATTGTCTTTCCTCGCCACTGTCGAAATAAGTTTTTTTCCTTGTTTCACACTCAAGGTATATCATACTGCATTAAATGCCAACCGCAGCGTGCTAAAAATTGTCTTTGTATTTTTCTAGAGGTGCGACCGATCCTTCATCTGTATTCGTGAAGGTGTAGCGGATAAGTAAGGTTGTGATTACATTTTGCCTGAAATTTTAAAGTGCAAAATGTGGTATTTACAATAGTAACTGTTAGTCTCGTCGAGTAAGCACTTATTTTTAAAGGCAATGCGTTGTGAGTCCTGGACAATCGGTAGACAGGCCAAACAATTTCTTGAGGCCTCAGAGATGTGGTTTTACAGAAAAATGCTTAAAATATCTTGGACAGCAAAAAAAAAAAAAAAGCAACCACAAGGTTTTGAAAGAGGCAGGAGCCCGAAGACAAATAATTACAGACATCAGAAGGCCATGTTATGAGAAGAGGGAAAATAGAACATGTGGTGACCACTGGAAAGATATGTGGAAGGAGGGATAGAGGAAGACAACGAGAGAAGAATCTTGACAGTCTTGTTGCATGGCATGGAGGTGTGTCAGCACACGAAGTAATACATGCTGCAGGAGATCGCAGATTGTGGTGAGGTATAATCGCCCACGCCAGTCGGCAAGACACCTGATGATGATGATACACTATTTGTATTCGCCGAATAGTTGGTCCCTCTATTCGTATTCGGCTGAATAGTTGGTCCCTCTATTCGTATTCGGCCGAATAGTGAAATCCACTATTTTGTACAACCCTAGTAATAAGCTGTAACAACCCCTCATAAACAATAACACTAAAGGGCTCAGTCGAGGTAAGATGAGAAGAGGCAAACCAAAAAAGACATGGATACAGAATGTGACTGATTTAGCTAGCCTTATGCGTGCAGTCATGAAATGCATTGCATCTGACTACTAAAGGTGGAAGGAGCTAATTAGACAGTCAACCACAGACAGACCCAAAGACACGCAATCTGCAATGTACCCGCCACTGATGTTCGCTGCACTATTATTTGAAGCTCCAGTGTTCAAAGATACTATTGTCTTCGTGAAATTCTCAGATTTTTCAAATAACTATTGTCTTCGTGAAATACTATTGTCTTCTTCGTGAAATTCTTCTTTTTTCTTCTTCTTCTTCTTCTTCTTCTTTCTTCTTCTTCTTCTTCTTCTTCTTCTTCTTCTTCTCTTCTTCTTCCGTCTTCTTCTTCTTCTTCTTCTTCTTCTTCTTCTTCTTCTTCTTCTTCTTCTTCTCTCTTCTTCTTCTTCTTCTTCTTCTTCTTCTTCTTCTTCTTCTTCTTCTTCTTCTTCTTCTTTCTTCTTCTTCTTCTTCTTCTTCTTCTTCTTCTTCTTCTTCTTCTTCTTCTTCTTCTTCTTCTTCTTCTTCTTCTTCTTCTTCTTCTTCTTCTTCTTCTTCTTCTTCTTCTTCTTCTTCTTCTTCTTCTTCTTCTTCTTCTTCTTCTTCTCTTCTTCTTCTTCTTCTTCTTCTTCTTCTTCTTCTTCTTCTTCTTCTCTTCTTCTTCTTCTTCCTCTTCTCTTGCTCTTTCTTTCTTCTTCGTCTTCTTCTTCTTCTCTTCTTCTTCTTCTTCTTCTTCTTCTTCTTCTTCTTCATCATCATCAATATCATCATCCTTACTATCATCTTTTTTTTTGTGTTTGTTCCTTATGCTACTGCTGCGTTCAACCTTAAAAGAGCGATTGGCATATTGTGGTTTACAGTTCGGCTGCTGCGATATCTGCTCCTTTCCGCACTTCATATCAGATTTCAGCAGACTTCTAATTAGTCGCCTTTTACGACACTCTTTAAGGATGCAGTGGGTCTGTTCATCCTACCTTCCGCGCGCACACACTGGCATTCAAACAGGACCCCGAAACTCACACAGGTATAATTTATAATAACAACAATGACATTATTGTAAAGAACTTGCAATGTGCACATAAATTAACAACGAACTATCATCGACACAGGGGAGCACCCACATCAGCAGCTTCTCCTGGACCCAAGTCTACCCGAGGACATCCTGCTGGAACTAGAGCTGGCACTTGACTATGACGAGATTCTGGCCATTCTAGGGGAGTATCTCAAGGGTTGACTCTATCACATGAGTACAGTTGGCTGTAGTACATACGAATAAACGCAATCTGACGGTCTGGTTTAGTATTTACAATACACCTATGTCTATGACAATGTTACCTATAATTGCGTATAAAAGCATATAGTCAAATACTAATATTGCCACTACTACCACTATAAATATTACTATAGCCACAACTACTGATGCTACATATGATGCTGCTGCTACTACTACTGCAACTTCTACTACTATTACTTCAAGTGTTACTGCTGCTGCTGCTACTTCTACTACTACTAATACCACAGCACTACTACTATTAACACCCTTATTACAGCTGCAATAACAACAACACCCACAACGAATACTACACCCACTATTATCATTAATATTGCTGTTTATATGCTACTGTTGCTACTACATCTATACTATTAGTGATATGAACAATCTTATTACATATACGATAATAACAACAACATAAACAACTACTACATTTAAAACTTTCGCTTCTCCTACTACCACCACTTTTGTTGCAGATCCTGCTACCGCTACTACCACTAATACTACAGTACTGGTAGTATCTGTAATACTGCTACTACTGTTGTCAACACGAGTATCACAGCTAAACAAAAACTACTCTTAATACTATTATTACTCCAACTACTAAGACTAATATTGGCGCTACAACAACAAATACTTCTAATACATCAAATCTTAATACTACTACTAATAATAATCCTAAAACTTCTACTACTAGGAGAAGAAGATGAAATCAGAAAAATATTACAAAAGCATTTATACTACAGGAAATATTTATGAATGAGGTTAAGAGTTTTGAGGTTAGAACAACGAATAAACATCATGGCACACAGGAAGTAACCCATAAGAGCTCCGTTCTTCTTCTAACTCAAGTCTGAGTCCGAAGAAACTCAACATAGTGCACAGGCTTTGTAGCGCCGGTGAGGATCCTGAAATACTTTGAGCATATTTTAAACTACAAATTTTGCCCGGGCAGCACCGTTATGGATATTTTATGCACACAGGCGTCTAATCTCACTACCAATAAACCACGGGGAATTACTAGAAGTACAAGTCCACGTGAAGAAACTCCAGCCCTTACCGGGGATTGAACCCTGATCCTCTAGCACTCGAGGCGAACACCATGCCTCTAGACCACGTAGCCCCCCTAAAACCATTGTTTGGTGATTCGTCCAAATAAAGAGACAGAACTGGCTGGTACTGGGGGAAGAAGGAAATTCGGGCATGTGGTTTATTTCAGGTTTTGTTCCCTATCAAAGTCCAGATTGAGATTTGTAAAACTTGGAGATAGTATGGTAAACCTTTGGGTCGCTGCCTGAATGGGACATTCGGATTAATCGGTGACAAGTTTGTGTCTCAGAGAGAACCATACACAAGATGAAACGACGTTGTCAAGAATAGCCTCCAAGAAATGAAGATCACCTTCTACAGCGTCTTTGAAATTGCATATAGAAGATAGCCCCCACCCCTTTCCACCCCCCTCCCTACAATGATGTAACTGGGAGAAGAAGAAGAAGAAGAAGAAGAAGAAGAAGAAAAAGGGGAGGGGGGGGGGGAGGGAACAGAAATAGAAAGATAAAGAACATGTTGATAATAACAACAAAATTGTGAATGTTGAATCAGGAATCGACATTACAGAGCTCAGGACATTCTCTAAGCGCTATGTTCCCATTTCAGCAGCAGGTGAAGATGACACTAGTAACCGTAACATATTGACCATGAAAAGTGTCAAACGTTATGTACACTCGACTCTGTTGATGATGGTGCAGTTGTCGTGACGCGGTGGATTAAAATGTTTTATATGTTGAGTAGGGATTCTCTTTTCAACACATCTCCTCCACCAGATTAACGGAACTAAAATCCGAGCTATGTTGCTCTCAGACAAATTCCTGGATATCCAAGAAAACAGCCATATTGGCTCGTTAAGTACATTAACATTAGCTGCACTTGGTACCCACAAGAGAAGGAAAGGAATTTTAGATGTCTATATCATTATGCTGAATGAATTATTAGACAGGGCAAATGATTCCTCCGTCATACCTTCTTCCGCTATTATTCTTAATAATTAAAGAATTATTATGATATTATTTGAGCCCCCACCAAATGTAATTCTATCTATCAGTTTAGTTAAAACAGGTAAGACTGAATACACTTGGAATTTAACAAACGATGTAGTATAAAACTTGACATAAAGCTTTATTTACTATCAATCATTTAAATAAAGTTTCCCAGTTTGTTGTGTTTACACAAACAGTGACTGGTTAGTGTTATTATCGTGATGAGATGCTTCAGCGAGAAAACGGTACCTGGGATTAGAATGGAGTGATGAAGGTGATAACGTATGAACAATTTATGACATAACTTAGTTATCATAGAACCTCTGACAGCCGTGAGCACTGTCAAGCTCTTCCTCCTCTTCTAGCTTCTTCCCTGCTTGTTTTCTGCCTGTTTCAGCTTAGTCTCCACTTCCTCCCCACCTCGTTCCCAGCTGGCCGAGTCTAACACAGTGTAGTCTCGTTCATGGACTAATCGTCACATGGGCGCTGTAATCATGGAAACAAACACATACGTGTAGTATCTTGACTTACACTAAGAATATATGTATCAATTAATATAACATATAATAATCAAATATATCCCATCACTCCTCCTCATATTCCACATTCTCTCCAGTCTAGTCTGAAGGTCTTTTGTCTTACATGGACGTCACATATCCTGCCTTCCCTCATGCTATGTCATGATAGTTGACTTTCTAAGTCTGTTGTCCGTCATCCCTCAGACTTCCCAACATTGTTTTTACATGAACACGTGGAGCAGGTTATGTGCTGAAACCGCAAACAATTTATATGTGCACGCTGTCCTGAATATTATCTTTCAGTGACCGTGAATTCTATACACCTATCATTCTTCCCCTGGGGTTATAGATCCCCTGTTTAGGTGAACACATTAAGTGAGCACATGGTGGGCACACAAAACGTAACAGCATTCCCGCACATATTTGGGCATCATTTCCCACAGTCGCAACTCATATTTTGGCTGATCATGGAAACAATATAATAGCATTTCATTATAGCATATCTCATTGTTCACATCTTATTTTATACACATGAAAACATACACTGAAAAACATGTGACACAAACATACAAGAAATAGGAATAGTTTAGCAGTTCCCTAACTGAGATACTGAATACTCACAAAGAACTATTTCAAGCAGAATGTGCAGACAAATTAGGAAAAGGTAGTATAGACTAAGCTTAACTCCCTAACCTATGTATACAAGATTAAAATTAATATTTTACCTGGGAACTTCCATCAATCGCCAAACCAGAATCCGACAGTAAAATTTACCTTTACGTCGACCTGTGTTTGTTGCTTGCCAGCTGCGATGTGACGGGAATTCCAAAGGCTCAAAGTATACAATCTAACTGTCTCCAAGGTTACACTCCTCTCTTTACTCGGTTCTACCCAACCCTCAAGACGATGATTTAAGCCACGCCTCTGAAGTACCTATCAGATCAAATAGGCTAACAAGTGGCCTGTCAGTCAATTCTGGACTGACATCCCTAAAGCAAACAGTCTTAAGTGATCCAATCTAGTTTACAACGAATCTAACTAGCCGGTGTGAAAAGACGGTCAGTGAAGCCATTGTGTTTCCTACTTGACCAAGATCAAACATTCCTAATTGCCAAACACCTGTTCTCTTGAGAATTACACTGACGTGTTAGACTTAAACCTCTCTTCGCCGCAATGTCTAGAGTCCACTCAATTTACACGATCTCGTCTTTCAAAGCCGCCCCACTCAGTCTGTGGTCAGGAGATAACATTCTGGCACTGACATGAGAATCAAACATAACATCCCTAGTCTGAACCAGCGGGCTGTATTACGTAGTGTTATGTAATTTTAAACAAAGCGCAGTGGCTTTGTCTCGGAGAAGGACTGGAAACATTTAAATCAATTTGGTTTAAAGTAATATTAGGGTAAAGGGCAGAGTAAATATAATCCTGTCTCTTTAGGACCAGAAGAACTTATTACAAGTACTAACTTCTGGAACCACTGAGATCGTTTCGTGACAGCAGTATGCATCAAAAAGTTGTTGAACATAAATTAGCAAGACAAGATCCCTAAAACTGAGGTCCTTGACTTAGCTGGACTGCCAAGTATTTACTCGATTAAAAGGAAAACGCTCTCAATTTGGACACAAGAAACGTTTCAAGGACAACCTCAAGACGTCACTGAAAGACTTCTGTAATGTGGACACAAGAAACGTTTCAAGGACAACCTCAAGACGTCACTGAAAGACTTCTGTAATGTGGACACAAGAAACGTTTCAAGGACAACCTCAAGACGTCACTGAAAGACTTCTGTAATGTGGACACAAGAAACGTTTCAAGGACAACCTCAAGACGTCACTGAAAGACTTCTGTAATGTGGACACAAGAAACGTTTCAAGGACAACCTCAAGACGTCACTGAAAGACTTCTGTAATGTGGACACAAGAAACGTTTCAAGGACAACCTCAAGACGTCACTGAAAGACTTCTGTAATGTGGACACAAGAAACGTTTCAAGGACAACCTCAAGACGTCACTGAAAGACTTCTGTAATGTGGACACAAGAAACGTTTCAAGGACAACCTCAAGACGTCACTGAAAGACTTCTGTAATGTGGACACAAGAAACGTTTCAAGGACAACCTCAAGACGTCACTGAAAGACTTCTGTAATGTGGACACAAGAAACGTTTCAAGGACAACCTCAAGACGTCACTGAAAGACTTCTGTATTGATCCTAAAACCTGGGAAGTCGATGCATGTGACCTCTTCTCCTGATGCTCCTCTCTTCATCGAGGAGCTGTGGCCCATGAAGCTGATAGAACTGCAGCAGCAATTCAGAAAAGACAAGCCAGGAAAGACAATGAAGCAAATTACCAGAGAGATGCGGCCTTAGTTCCCTGTCCACACTGCTCAAGAACTGTCAGTGCTA